GCTTCCTGATGATCCAGAGGAGAGTGTCAGAATTTGTTATGCAAGCAACATTGCTAAGCTTGCTTTAACTGCTTATGGATTTTTGATTCACTCGATACACTTGAGTAAGGCAGGGGTTCTTGATGAATTGAGTTTGCCACGGGAGTCCTTGGCTTCATCTAATGGAAAAAATGGACAACTGCAGAGATTAAATGGTGATGCGCAGCTTGCTCAGCTGCGAAAATCCATAGCTGAGGTTGTTCAAGAACTTGTGATGGGACCAAAGCAAACTCCAAATATCAGGAGAGCACTCCTTCAGGACATTGGTAATCTGTGCTGCTTCTTTGGTCAGAGACAGAGTAATGACTTTCTTTTACCCATACTTCCCGCTTTCTTGAATGATCGAGATGAACAGCTAAGGGCTGTATTCTTTGAGAAAATTGTGTATGTTTGCTTTTTTGTGGGCCAAAGAAGTGTGGAAGAATATCTTTTACCTTATATTGAGCAGGCTTTAAGTGATATAACAGAGGCTGTAATTGCTAATGCATTGGATTGTTTGGCCATTCTGTGCACGAGTGGTTTCTTGCGGAAACGAATACTCCTTGAGATGATAGAACGTGCTTTTCCTTTGTTATGTTATCCAAGTCAATGGGTAAGAAGGTCAGCTGTCACTTTCATTGCTGCTAGCAGTGAGAGCTTAGGTGCAGTTGATTCATATGTTTTTCTTGCCCCAGTTATACGCCCTTTCCTTCGCAGACAACCTGCATCTCTTGCCTCTGAAAAGACTCTCTTTTCATGTTTAAAACCTCCAGTTTCAAGACAAGTATTTTACCAAGTCTTGGAAAATGTCAGGAGTTCAGACATGTTAGAAAGACAGAGAAAAATATGGTATAATTCATCGGCACAATCAAAACAATGGGAAACTATGGATTTACTAAAGAAGGAGCCAGGGGAACTAAGCTCAGCGACAAGCTGGTCTGATAAGCAACCAAGCCTTGAGGATCGAGGACCTCCTGGGAGTGCATTAGAGCAAGATTTAACTGAATCTGGTGAGAATACAAATAAGCTAAGACCAATGGGAAGCCTTATATGCAAAGCTTCTACTGCACTTGACCTTAATGATCCCCTGTGTTCGGAGAAATTACAGTTTTCATGCTTCATGTCTCCACAGGTTACCGGTGTAAATAGTTTGTTATGTGATAAATCATCCGAAGGCATTCCTTTGTACTCTTTTAGCCTTGACAAAAGGACAGTGGGAATTCCTCCTGTAGCTTCTGAGTCTTCATTGCTGATGAATTCCCTAGGAATTGGTTCATTATCCATGCCATGGATGGATCCACTAAACAAATCATTTAGTTTGGCTAGCTCAGTTCCAGCTCCCAAGCTTATTTCTGGCTCATTCACTGTAGGTACTGGTTCTAAACAGTTCCATAGAGTGGTTCACGAACCTGATGGAAGGGAAGGTGAGATGGCCTCTATTAATGGTAAATTTCAAGATATGGCAGTATCTGGAACAATAAGAGGAAATTCCGTAACTGGGGAAGATATTTCTGCTCCAATAGAACTTACAGGAGTGCCATCTTTTGCACGCACATTGTCGGTGCCAGATTCAGGCTGGAGGCCTCGTGGAGTGTTAGTTGCACACCTCCAAGAGCACCGTTCTTCTGTTAATGATATTGCAGTTTCAAATGATCATAGCTTTTTTGTGAGTGCCTCTGATGATTCAACAGTGAAGGTGTGGGATTCAAGGAAGTTGGAAAAGGACATATCATTTAGATCAAGGCTAACTTATCACTTGGAGGGAAGTCGAGCACTATGTGCTACAATGCTTCGGAATTCTGCTCAAGTGGTTATTGGAGCTTGTGATGGCATGATTCATACATTTTCTGTTGATTATATCTCCAAAGGTCTAGGGAACATTGTTGAGAAGTATTCAGGTATTGCAGATATTAAAAAGAAGGATATCGGAGAGGGTGCAATACTTACCCTCTTAAATTATCCTACTGAGAATTGCTCCAGTCAGATGGTAATGTATAGTACCCAAAACTGTGGAATCCATCTTTGGGACATCAGGTCAAATTCTGATGCATGGAAATTACAAGCAGTTCCTGAGGAAGGCTATGTATCTTCCTTGGTGATTGGTCCTTGTGGGAATTGGTTTGTCTCAGGATCATCTAGAGGTGTGCTTACTCTTTGGGATATGAGGTTCCTTGTCCCTGTAAAGTCCTGGCAATATTCTATTGTTTGTCCTATAGAGAAGATGTGCCTCTTTGTTCCTTCTTTAAATGGCACCATATCGACGGTGGCAAGGCCTCTTATTTTTGTTGCTGCTGGTTGCAATGAAGTTTCACTTTGGAATGCGGAGAACGGGAGCTGTCATCAGGTGACATTGTCAATCTTGTTTAGATGTATCTCAAATTTTTTACCAAAAAATCAGTAATCAAATTTTGAACCTAACCAGATAAGGAAAAAAAGAAGGGAAAATATCAAAGTTCTTTTGGATAACAAAGATGTCTTGTTTACTAGGAGGAAGCTAAAATGTCGATTAGATGTCAACATATACAAATTGATGCAAAATATATGAGCCTTCAATAACCAAAATAAAATTCTTTTGTTCAAAAAGTGAATAGCAGGAGAAGCTTGGATTTGTTATAAATATAAAACTTAAAATGTTGATGTTTTCCAATTACTAACCTTTCACGTGGATTAGAAACCATCTTGGTTTAGTTTGTAATGAATTTGAGGTGCTTATGTTAATATGAAGGGCAAAATATTTTCTTTTTGGAAATAAATATGAAGGGGAAAATATAGATGAAAATTAGGTGTCTTGTCTTCTCTATTTAAGAGCTACATGAAGTGTTTTGTAGTCATATAGCATGCCATCAAGTTTCAGAAAGCTATGAGTTTTTCTTGTCTTTAGAGATAAAAAACATTGTACAATAGCTCCATAGAGCTGGAGTAATATTCATTTTTTTTAATTGTTGCATAGAGTTCTGATGAGCGTGGATTCTCTATATTCTAACAATGGTACTCTTGTTATGATCGTGATTAGACTTCACCAAGTATTTCTTACCATGTATATTTATGCTTATGGAAACAAGTTTTAACTTCTATTTCCAGGTACTACGGGTAGCGAACTATGAAAATGATGCTGAAATTTCTGATTTGCCATGGTCCTTGGCAAGGCCATCTGGTAAGTCAAGTTCTAAAGCAGATTTGAGGCGGAATATAAATTCAAGGTACAGAGTTGATGAGCTGAATGAACCTCCGTCACGTCTGCCCGGCATCCGTTCATTACTTCCTTTACCTGGGGGTGATCTACTGACGGGGGGTACTGATTTGAAGATTCGTCGATGGGACCATTACAGGTTCTAATTTAATCTCAACTTTTGTCGGCTTGCTCATCTTATAACAGGTTTACCGGGTTTGTGACTCATGTGACTGACTGTTTTTTCATGTTACAGCCCTGAAAAAAGTTACTGTCTCTGTGGGCCGAACTTAAAGGGAGTTGGGAATGACGATTTCTATGAAACAAGATCTAATTTTGGGGTGCAAGTTGTGCAGGTATCTTAAATAATTTAGAAGGTTTCACATCTAAGCCTCATTTTTAAGTGATCATAATGCTGAGATAGGTCACCTTGGTGCTAATACTAATTGATCTAAAGAGAGAGAACAGAGGACATCAAGGATTTAAGGGAAGAAAAGACATAGGAAACAAAAAAAATTAGGGACAGCACAAAGAAGAATTGGGAATAGAAAAGAGCAGAAAATACGAATTAATTATCAAGAAGAGGGAGAGACTAGGAGATGTCATGTAACTCAAATAAAGTTTTTTATTCAATTGTCATAATATATCTAAAAATATTCAAAGAAACATGCTGTTATGAGTACCAAAGTATACATCTTAAAGAGGAAACTAAATCCAATGAAATATGAAACAAAATAAAAGCTGATGAGTAACCAAATCCCTACATATGAGATAAAATAAAATCCAAATTGGAAACTAAATAAAATCCTAATTGCACTTGAATTTTCTAAATATTCTGAATAGTCCTAATTAAATGGAAAAGATATTAGAATTATATAATTGTTACCTAAATATTTATTGGCCCTAGTTGCTTCTAATTTTGAGTTATCTAAAAAAAAAAAATGCTTCTAATTTTGAGTCTTCTTGTTCTCTATTAATGGCACCTCCTTCTTGGGAAGTATAATGAGGTATTTTTACAATTTGTACGTGGGACAATTAAGTAGAATACAGTGGTCTTTTGTAGGTTTAGCTACTTGATTACTCATTTCATTTTTAAGTTGTATGTATCATTCTGTAATCTACCTTTAGTCGACTCGCAACTGTATGGGGTTTTCAGAATTCTTTGCTGGATCCAGATATTTAAACCAAGCAAGTGGAAATTTTATTATGATTCCATTTCATAATTTTTCTTTTTTGAAATAAAAATGATTCCATTTCATAATATGCTATAACTGAATAATTTTCCTGGGCACAGGAGACAAAGAGGCGACCTCTGACAACTAAATTATCGGCAAAAGCTGTTCTAGCAGCAGCTGTAACTGATTCTGCTGGTTGCCACCGTGATTCCATCCTCTCATTGGCTTCTGTCAAATTGAACCAGAGGCTGTTGATATCTAGCAGTAGAGATGGGGCTATTAAGGTTTGGAAGTAAATGAGTTAAGCATACAACTGCTCTACGGTACATATTAGTGCTATTGGTTGTTGAAATTGTATATAGCATGTTAAGACTAGAAGGTCAACCTTTTGTTTAGGTATATATCATAATCCTGGCTGTGCTGATGCTTGATTTATACCGCAAGTTAGCTTGTAGAAATACATAGGAATTTATCTAGTTTTATGCTGTTCTATTTTAGCAATCAATTTATCAGTTTAAAAATTATCTGGTACTAGTGATGTTAAAAGACTTTATCATGAAGAAAATTCATGTAGTATTTTGACTGCAATGTTCGATGTAATGGTGTTTTTCTCTTAACATTTATCCAATTGTCTTTCTCAATTTTCGAATTTGTGAACCATCTGGATTACATACCTATCTAGTACATATTTATCTTTTACTTATTCAAATAGCACGTTACTTAAAGGGTTTAAGCCAGGATGCTAAGCTCCTGAGGAAGCTTGGTGCGATTGGAGTTGAGTGGCTTAGGTTTTTTATTTTTTTGAAAGAGAAGACTTAGCAGTGCAAAATAGGAAACTTCTAAAGTAGACATATTTCAGTAATAGAAGATATGAGGTACAACTAATTGAAGGACATAAATGTTTTGGGAAGTTAACTAATAGGAATAAGAAGATTTAATTTCTTTTTCCAAATTTTAAGAAGTTTTACAAGAAAGAGAATAGGAATATTTATTTTCCTATTGCTTAGATTTCCTATTTTTCTAATTATTTCTATTTGATTTATTATCTCATTTGCTTGTTTTTCTAATTTTTCTATTTTTGATGTATTTTGGTGCCTACAAATAACGTACTTTCACTTAATTATTAAGAAAAGTATTTATGATAATTATTCAAATATATAGAGATATTACTTTGATTATTGAGATTCAAGATCTTCAAGTTTTTTGTTCTTAATGAAATTAGTCTTTGTTTTCAAGTTCTCTTTGTTTTACATCACTTAGGCTTGTTTGGTACATGAAAACATTTTTTAGTTTTCAGTTTCACTTGTAAATGTTCATACATAAAAACATTTTTGATATAGTTGAAAATACAAACAATATTTACGAATTGGTAATTCTAAATGTTGCATAAATATGAAAAGAGTAAATAGAGTTTTTAATGAATTTCAGAAAACTGGTTTCATTTATAATTGACTACATATATGCACAACATCGTACATGCTTTTATGCAAAAACATATATAAAATCTGGGAAATGAATTCCTATCTTAGGAAAAAAAGCTGTCTATTTTTTCTTTTGGGGTCCGCTTTATACTTACTGTATTTCTTAATGAACCTTAATTGCCCCTAGGGGTGACAAAGCAGGAGGGTAGTGTCTCGGATTTGTCTCAATACATAATATAGATGACTTTTATCATCCTGTATACGACTTGTTGACTAGACGGGTCATAACCTCTAAACTCATACATGACCTATTTATAAAGGAGCAAATTTTGTTTAGTCCCACTTGATATATTTATCATAAAATGTCAAACAAATTAACTATTTATTTTTTTGAAATATAACTATTTAAATTAACTTGAACTAACCTTATTTAATATGTTTATTGTTTATTTATTTTCTTGAAATCAAATATGTAAATTACGTATATGACACTTTATGGAGTGTCGCCCCTATATTAAAGAATTTACCAATTAGTTAATGCATCAATAACCCTCTCAAAATCATCCCACCCAAACATGTCACGACTCAGAATTAGAATCCCGAAAGTATGAAGTCATTTATCTCAAATTATACCAATATCTCTTCCACTCCCATGGAAACCTTTATCAGCTATTTGTTTTCTTTCAACCCAAAAAGTAAGGAAAGAAATCATTTTAGCAAACCAGCTGAACCTTTTACTTCCACTGCAAGCCCACAATTCATCTTTCACCAAACCCCCAATCACCCAATTTATACCCAATAGACTATAAACCATAGACCATAAACTACAAGTCACCGGGTACCAAAGAAGAAGATGGTTGCAAGATTCCACAACATTCATGCAAAGATAGCACCCGTTGGCCATAATGTGACCCTTTTTCATCAACTTGTCAGCATTCCCAGCACGCTTCCTATGTAAAAAAAGCGATCCTCGGTGGCATATTTACTTTT